GACCGTTGCCCATAGACATACGTAATTGCATATGCGTTGCTTACATTTAATCGACGGAGGAGAGGATGCACAGAAAGAAAATATTTTCCCTTTCCATGCATCCTCTCATCCGGAAAGTCCACTTCCACTTCCCATCCTTATGAGAGAAAGGGTAGAAAGGGAAAGAGGACTAAATTAGGCCTCCGGGACGCACACTCATCAGACGAAACGCGGAATTACTTCCACTTGACGCCTGTCTTCTGTATGGTCGTGGTATTTCACCGGGCGAGCCGGGCAAAGTCGTGCGAAGATGTTAAAGCGGGCTCTTATGACGTCATAGTAAATATGCGTTATGTTGTAGTGAAAATAATTTTAATAAATATTGTTCAAGGAGTTTTTACACTTTAGCTGCCATTTAATCCAAGAAAAAAGAAGAAATTTAAACTTTTCAATTCAGTAATTTCAGATCAGTTTTCTACGTCTTTTTGTTATTCATATTCTACAATACTAACACATTTTTCTTCAAACAAGGGTTTTTTATTTAAACCCCTGTACTAATATATTTTAAATATAAATTTTGTCTATGATTTGATTACTGTTAAAACGTAAGCAAAGACTCATGTGACAAATTTTAATGCACAATCTTAATAATATTATAAATGCGATTATTTGGATGGATGGATGTTTGTTAAAAGTGATTCTTCAGAACGGCTGCATCGATATAAAATTTGGCATAGATGTAGGATTTTTTCTGGAAGAATACATAGGCTACTAATTTAGTTTTATTAATTCCGCGCGGACGGAGTCACGGACGACGACTATTTTTTATAAGTATGCCCAATAATCATGTAGAAATCTGGTAATTGAAGACTTACAGCGCCATCTAGAATACACAAGCGTGACTTATTTTATTCCAAAATTTGTATCTCATAGTCGACAAGAGATGTCGCTACTCATCTCTTGTAATCAATGTTTATATTTTTTATTCTCTTGTTTCTCATAAATTAAATTTAAAATGTAAGATTTGACACAAAAATCTTCTGTTATTATTTACTCCAAGTGTTTGTTCTCAAGCGTTTGTTTTTATTTTTACCAAAAATAATTTCTTAAATCTAAATTGAAAATTATATGCAATGTTTGACATTTGACGTAAAAATGAGCGGCAAAAAAAGAACAAAGTAATGTAAAAGTACTTAATTTTGGAGGCAATTTTAAAAAAGGAACATTGGAATTACGAATTGGATCTTACAATCGACATTTCATACTACATCTGCGCGTACAGTCAACCGCGACTTAAAGCCCAAAACATAAATTGCCGAGTTAAAAGTGTAACGGAAACTTAATGGGACGTATTGCAGCAACGAAGCTACCGATTTCTCGTCATAGTGATGGGAAAATATCGATAAAATGTTTCACTTCAAACTAACGCCTAAATTAAAAAAAACTGAGAAACGTCAAATTACAAATATGGCCGCCATTACGATATTTCATTTATTCATCTATGATTTAAACAATTTTAGTTTTTTATTTAAACGACATAACAAAGTTGCTCCGTTATTTTTCAGATGGGTAATGACGCTTACATAACTTCATAACAACTAAATTATTTTAAGATGGCTATCACACAATTAGCAATAATTAAACATTCATTTGCATTCGTCAAATCAAAAAATATCAAACAATGTTATTTTTTTATTTAAAAATATATTCTTCGATGTAATAATATCGATATTTATCACATCACTAAAGGAATCAATCATAAAAGTGTCGTTGTAGAACAATGGCGGCGCGTGTGGCCGCTCGCGATGTGTGCGGCCGCGCTTACATTACCACTTACATTTAGCTAATAACCAGATATCGATATTTTCTGATTTTATTTAATTAATAACCTCTCTTATTTCACTACACTGTTATTCTGTTCCAAAAATTATTGTCATTAAAGGTATTTGACAACATAATATTTAAGTTGGTAAAATAGATCTGCCAACGTTGCCAAAAATAGAACCCAAAGTTTTTTTTAAGCACACGTTAAAAGTGACAAGTATTTGTGGGAGTTATTCTGCCAGAACTACTTTCTTAATAATATTATAAATGCGAAAGTAACTGTGTGTTTGTCCTTCTTTCACGCAAAAACTAATGAATAGATTTAAATGAAATTTGGTACACAAATAGTCCAAAGCCTAGGGAAGGACGTAGGCTATTTTTTATCGTGAAAAAAAGGGTTGTAAGGGGTTGAAAAGGGCGTTGTAAATTTGTATGGAAGTATCGTCTTTTCTACAGATAGAAGCTTGAATCTTTAGGCTGTTAAATTTTACCATGAAGGGTGCAAAATAATAGGGAATAAAAGATTGTTTTAGAATATGTTTATGAGAATTTTTTGTGAGATTAATATAGATGACAAAGTCGCAGACACAAATAGTTTTTATAATTTATATTTTACAGTATATTCAATAATCCACCTTGACCTTTAATTTTGTCAATGATATTCAAGTATTTTCATTATCAACAATATAAATTCCTCTATTAATGCTTTCGAGGTGTTACTAAAGAATTTACTGACAATTGTGCTTTGTGAAATAACCTAAAATAATATAGTATTATTCGAATTTAGTTCTTATGTTAAGTGAATAAGATCTGTATTTGAAATTTAAATAATTTGTCGCGTGCAGACAACCTTATCTAAATACCCTAATTACTAACTCGACACATAACGCAAATAGCTTTATTCAAATGGTTTCAACTCATGGTCAGTATTGTTAGAAAACAATACGAAATTCAAACACAAAAGTTTTTTTTTTTAATTATTTGTCACAGACAACATTGTCGTGTGTACTACTATATAAAAATATTTTATAAAAATTAAAGAATTGAAAAAAGTCTTTGCTATTTTATCGTAATTATTTTATTAAGCGAAGACACGAAGGTGTCTTAAGCAAAATTTTAAATTCCAAATTCTTTATAATTTCGTAATTCATAATGTTATTAAAACTACTAATAAAAAAGTGATTATTACAAATTACTGGTGTAAAATCACATCACTACAATTTTTTACGTATTTTTGAATTAAAAGTGCGCCTAAAATATAACATTTACTAAATAAATCGATTCCTCCACTATTGAATTTAAAACATCGATATCGATTCAAAAAACAAAGCACGTTTCCCGCCATTTTTCCCGCCATTCTGTTAAACATGGCATTTACGATCGAACGCGCGCGTTTTAATGGCGGCAGATTAATTTAATATTTTGTAATTACTGCCCGCAACATCGGAAGTTAAACTTAATTAGAAAATGTTTTCTTACTAAACTATGTTTAGTGTTAACGTAATGTTAACGATGTTAAATCGAACTTTTTATATCGTGATTTACTTACTTTTACTCACGGAATTATAATTTACTTACAGTAAATAAACTGCACCACAGATAAAATATGTAAACTTACGATATAAATATTTTCTATTATCTATACCACACTAATTGATTTAAATTAATACTTAAGGGTTTAAATAATTTAAAGTACTGTATTTGTCTTGTTTGTAATATTTGCATGGAATTTTATATATTAAATAAACAAATAGGATAATATAATACGGTGTACTATAACTACGTCCAATTAAAACCCGCTCAGCGCTTCGGGCGTACAAATAATAAACATCTTTTATCATCTTTCTGTTTGTTAATTCCTTTAATTACTTTTGAGCTAGTCCAAACCGTCAATTATTGTTTTAAAAATAAACTTCGAAAATGCCACAATACGTGTTCCGACTGCTTATTCTTAATTACTTATAAGTGAGACGTAACTCAAACGTTGAAAGTAGGTATTTAGTGAACTTATCTTTGAGTATAGACATTGATGTATTGCTGGTGAAACGGAGCGTGTTTGTTTTTTTTAATGACCGCCGGCGGCCGCGGACTCTCGATCGTTCAGCCACACCGTGTAATTAGTTGGTTATAAAAACTTTAGGTAATTAATTGTGCTTTGTAAAGCCCAAACTGATGGCGCTGTGCTTATAAAATTGATATTAATCGTTGACATTTCATGACAAGCGGTAATTGTGTTTAAGATAAGCGAATTGGGATTTTTAAAAATTAAAGAGGAGTTGTGGCAGAAAAAAAACAAAATTTGTTATTTTTTTGAACCCCATCTTTTCTTTTCATATCGCCATTTTCCATATGGTAATACTGCATCTTTGGATGATCCAAAAGCAAATAAATTAGAAATGTAATAAATTTCTTTAGTAACAAAAGACGATACTTTTGTTTAGAAACCTCTGACTGTACAAGAAAGGCCACGTTTTCCTTTTTTATACATATGGCATCCTTAATTAGAAGTCATTAATATCGCTGTGGCGCACGGTATTGCGTGTGCGGGAATCGTTTCTCAACGATTAATTAGCAATTCAAACAAATTTAACTAATAACAACTAAACGCAGTGTACGATTACGTTTGGTTGAAATAAAGTTTTTATTAACATGTTGTTCAATTCTCTACTAGTATTGTTAAACTAAATTAGATAACCCAACGATAAATGAATTAACCTTTTAAGTTGACACATTTAAAAGTGGATTCATATCGATGGCTGTTTTTAAATTAATTGGGGTTGGTTTATCTTAACACTAAGGTATTTATAGATCTCGACGATTTTGACGCAGCCGGAGAGCTATGAAAGGTGTAAACATGTACAATGCCGCTGACCTTCCTTTCAAATTTACTTTGTTTCAAAAACATAGTTACACGAACTTTAGAAATTTTTATAGAGATTTTTATATTCTACAGAAAAATACAAAAGAAATTTTCGAAGACCGCAATAAAATTGTTTAAATGAGATAAAAATAAAGACTGAATAATTTGTCATCTAAAAGTATTGTAAATATTTGGAATGTACAGTTATTTTTTTTTGAGATAAAAGGTATAAAATAAATTGAAGCACTAATTTCATTTAAAACTTTTTATCACAGAAATAACAAATTTCACAATAGCAGTCTTTGTAAATACATTTTATCAGTCATGAATTGTCATTTGTCAAACTGACAGTTGCCGATCGGCTTCGGTCTGCAAAGGGTTTTTCAATCAATCAGTTTTAAAATCGTAATGTAATTTTTAAAAACATGTTATTATTTATAAAAATGTGATATTCAACATGATATTATGAGCTTAGTTTATTGGATCTGTGTGTATAACTTGATTTATTCATGTACAGAAGTATAAATTTAATGGGGCACCGGCTTAGCAGCTCAAAATGTCTCACAGTTTGTTTGGGACTAACATTTATTATGGGCTGCTTTTTAGCTTCCTTACCAATACAAAGCGGTGAGTATTGTGCACAAATATACTTAAAAAAAAGCATATTACACTTTTTACTTGCTTAATACTTATTTTCCTAAATGACTGAGGTTTTATATTTTTTTACAAAGCAGCAGTCTTAAAACCCAAGTATATTGACTCATAGTTTAGAAATTATCTAATGAATAAACAATTTATTATAATATATTGTATAATTAATGGTTTATATAAATTAACACATGATAAAATAAGTAATTAATTCTTTAAATATGATGAATTTTATTT